CAGGTCCCCCTCCCCCACGCCCTACTTACTGGCATGATTTTGGCTCCAGCTCCCTCCTGCAGCAGGCAGGGACTGCCTGAATTATCGAAGCTCTCTGAATCTTTTCCAAAGATTCAGAGAGCTTCAGATCAATTCAGACCTTTTTATTGGTCCCCTGGTTTGATTCAGATTTGGAGATTTGGCCACCAAATTGGGCCAAATCTCCTGCAAATTGAATCAGCACCTGAAGCTTCACACAGCCCTAATTCTTATGCATATAAAAATGGCCCTAGAGTTTCGGTTTCCTCAATTTTCACATGAGAAATCTCTCCTCAAGAATTTGTGTGGCCTCATCACTAAAGGATCTGATTACCTTGTTCTCTTTATTCCCTCACAGCCGTCCAGTGTATGTATACTCGATTCCATTTTATAGAAACGAGCTTGAGGCACAAGCGGGTTAAGGTCTTATTTATGCTGCGCTGTAACAGAGCACCATCCCCACAGTAGCTGAAAGCCCCTGGAGACACTCTGGAGTCCCTCTTATTCCGATTCACTCTGGGAACAGTCTCCCGTTCACTTTCCTACCATGTCTTGATGGTCCTTCTGGTTCTCAAAGGGGAGGCTGCCCCAGGGCTTCCCAGATCTGTTCTTCATTTCAAAGAACACCTGGAGGTGTGGAACTCCTGACTTAAGGGCTAACTGTACAGCTCCATACCACCCCTACACCATGCCTCATGTCCCACAGATGTTATTGTCATAGAAGCCATTGCTCTTAGTCTTGATACTTAAGCCATAGAGAAAAGCCCATCTCCATCCTTTCTGTAATCACTAAGGACTTACTGAAATAAGTTGTTTTCCATGAAAAATCATGGGTTCTGTGATTTTGGTGGGCTTGCTGCAGGAAAAAAATACTATCAAGCAGACAAAAGTGCAGGAAGCCCTACAGTTTGAAGTATGGGGGAGGAGAAGCGGGCAAGGGTCAGGGAGAGGAAGCAAATGAAAGGCTGAGCCTGAGATGTAAGCTCAGTACAGGACCTACTCTGGGGCCAGTAAAGGAAGTTAGAGGGTTTTTGCACCATCTTTGAAGCAGCCACAGGTGTGCTGCTACAGCATGCTGCAGCTTGAGGAGGATTAGGCAGGGATGAATGCTGAGAAGAAATCCACCAAGAAGGCCAAATATGTTTCAGCTCTGGACCATGTAAGGAAGTATCCTGCAGGGACCTTCCATGCAGATGGAGGCAGACTGTTCTGTACTGCCTGCAGTGTGACTCTGGAGAGGTCAAAGAAAATCAGTATAGATCAACACAGAGTTGGAGGTGCATATGAAGCAAAAGACTGCTGCAGATGCTGGAGGTCAGAGCAAGAAACATGTGACCATGTCCTCACTCTTTAAAAGGACCATGGAAAACAGCTTGGCAAGTCAAGCAGTAGCATTTTCCCTCATGGAGGCTTTCATGGTGGTGAACATCCTGCTGGAGAAACTTGATCACCGTAAGTGAAGGGACTACCTGAACCAAAACATGACAAATGCTGGCAGTTTTCTGTGTGTGAACAAGCTACGCAAAGACTATCTCCCTACAGTGATTGCTTCACATATAGTGTTCACAAAGGCTGCATTGGCAAAGTGTGAATCCTTCTCCATTGTGGCTGATAAAGCCACTGACCCTCAAGATAACTACGTGCTGCACATTTTATTTGTACCTGGAAGCTGGACAAACTGAGACCTGTTTGTTTTTCAAGCAGAGCCAGTCCACCTCAAGTCTGTCAATTTTCTACTGTTTCTCAGGCTGAAGGCAATTGTCAACTACGGCTTAAAATTTAACAAGATCTCAGCATTGCTGTCTGACAATGTGCAAGGCTTTCTCTGATGTGCTGCAAGGAATGCTGCCTAATGCATTTCATGTCACCTGCAATGCACAAGTTCTGTCTTTAGTACGTGACATCTGGTGCATGCAGTTCCCTGATGTGGATAGCCTGGTGTCTATTAGCACTGGATTTATGACCCAGATATCTTACCCAGGTAAACCCAAACCCTCAGACTGACTACAACTTCTTTCATTCAACAATAGGTAAATGTTATTGATATAAAGGAAGAGCAGATAAGAGGAATGCAGGCAAAGCAAACAAAATAACCCCCACATTTCTACTTATCTACTGGTTCCTAAGGCTGTTACAGGGAGAAAAGTACACCTGGCCAGTACACAAATGCTACCCTGTGGTTGTTTGAATGTCAGCAGTCTTGGAGGTCAAGGGCCAATGCCACCACTGCACCCCAGGTGGGGGAGATGGGCTGGTGGTGTGCCCTCTGCCCATGGTGGCCTCAGATTCTCCCCTTAGAAACCCTTTGTTGCTCTAAAATCCCTCCTTTTGTATTCTTTTTCCTCTGATGACTCTTCATTTTTGGGTACTGTTGATTGGTTTCCCTGTGGTTTGTCACATTGTCCATGTTCTGTCCTGCCAACATATTCCTTTATTCCAACAAACGCATCACATGCATACATCTTAATTTGGTCATTTACCAGTATCTTAATTTGGGCAACCCTGGCCTCCTAATTTGGTCCATCCACCAAAACTGGAAATCCCAGGGGCTCTGCAGCTGGTCTCTGTGCCCTAGTGCCAATGCTGCAGAGTCCCTTATCTTTGTTATGGGTTTTCAGGGAACACTGTGCAAATTTCCCAGCCTGTTTGTCCATTAGCCTCAGGCATGGTGTCTGCCTTGAAGGTTGTGAAACTTTGTCACAAACAGGCTTTTAGAAACCAATTAACCTTTCCTGTTCCTCTGGACCATTGTTCTAATTAAATATCTATTCTACCTACAAGTCAGTTCCTAAAAGCAAATCTCTAAATATCATTTCCTAGCTATCAGTGTCCTCCTTCAAGAAAGTCTTCAATCACTGTCCAGGCTGTAAGCTCAGGTACAGGGAGTACCTCACCAGTCAAAGTGGGGACCAGAGAGATGGAGAACATCAGCAACAACTGCCATTGGATGCTGCATTTAACAGGAGTGTCAAGGTTAGGATAGAGTAAACTCCTTTTTACAATGTCCTTTAATAAAGTATAGTCATAGTATTAGTTACAATTCATGTTATGTACAGCTTAAATTTGATAAGACATTTCATTAAACAATTGCTTAATCAAGATAATTAATCCATAGTTTCCAACTATCTGCCAATTTGTGGGGAAGGGTGGGATTGCTGGGGCCCTTCAGCCAGTCAGAGGCATGTGGTGGGGGGGGGAGGCAGGCATTGCCATAATCCTGTGAAAATGGTGGACAGCCCCATGATGTGTTTATGAAATCAGCTACCTGTTTCCTTGATTTGGGTAGATCCCTGGTAATCACTCTTCAGGTATTTGAAGACTGTTATCAAATCCTCCCCTCAGTCTTCTCTTCTCCAGACTCGATGACCCTAGTTCTTTCAGCCTTTCCTCATAAACCTTGCCTCCCAGGCCCCTAATCATTTTTGTTGCTTTGTGCTGGACTTTTTCCAAACAGTCCATATCCTCTTGAAGTCTGCAGCCCAAAGCTGGACACAGTACTCCAGGTGAGGCCCCACAAGTGCTGAATAGAGCAGAAGAATCACTTTCCTTGATTTGCAAGTGACACTCCTGCTAATACAGCCCAATATGCTATTTGTTGGACTTTTTTTTGCAACAAGAGCACACTGTTGGTTCATATTCAGTTCATGGCCCACTGTAACTCTGAGGTCCTTCTCTGCAGCCCCTCTGCAATATTTATAAGGAACAAAACAAACAGAAAAACTGCTCTTTGCACATGCAGGGTTCGTTTTTGGGCACAAATTTTAATTTTTCTTTCCTTTTGAACTCCTCTTTGAAACTGCTTTCTCCCCAGCACAATGAGGATGATGTTTTTTGCAAAATGACCATTCTACCGGGTCAATGCCCCTGGGACATGGGATACCAGGAAGAGTTTCAGAGTTGAGTCATTTAGACCTCCCAGCATTAACAGGGGTGAACCTAGCATACATTTCATATATGATAATTGTTACATATATAGCATACATTACAGGGGTGGGCAAAACATGGCTTATGGGCCAGATTTGGCCCATCAACTGATTGTATCCAGCCCACAGATAGGTGGTCACAAACTTATGGGATCCAGCCCATGGAGACTGGCAGCTCCATCTACTGGGTGATGCCAGGAATGTCCCAGCCCCTTCCATAGCTTACACCAGCTCCTGCCCTGCATGCCGGAAGCACTGCTGGGTGGGCATTGGCATCAGCTGTGGTCATGGATGGCAGGTTCCAGGTGAGGATCGGGATGTCTGCCTGGCTCCACAGCCGAGGTTGCTGCATCAGTGCTTCAACTGCAGTCTCAGGAAGTCACTGTGATCCCCACTGGAAACTTGCTAGCAGCATTCACAGTTGATGCCAGTGCCTGCCTTGTGCTACGTCTGGAACACTGAGTTAGTGTAAACTGCAGAAAGGGCCTGGGCATTGTGGATGGGGCATGCAATAGCTGTGGGGATGGGTCAGGCAGGAGGAGAGAAAGAAAGAGAGCAAGATTGGGGTGCGCTGTAGCTGCAGAAATGGTTCAGGCTGGGGCCCAGGGCAGAGCCATGATCCACTCCCAGCATGCCCCTGACCACAGAACCAGAGCCTGTCACAGGGGCGTGTGGCTGGTGGATCGTGGCTCTGCTCTGTGCTCAACTGGGACTGGGCTGGGGCTGGGATCTGAGGGAGCAGGACAGGCAGGTGGGTAGGCAGGGCTGGGGCTGCGATCAACATCGTGCAATATGAACCCCAGCCCTGCCCTCCTACCTGCTTGCTCATCCCAATTCTAGATGCAGCTCCCCCAGATCCTAGCCCTGGCCCTATTCTGGCTGAGTGTAGAGCAGAGACATGATCTGCTGCCCACACACCCCTGCAATGGCTGCCAGTTTTGCAGGCAGTGTTATGTGGGAAGCAATTCACGGCTCTGCCGTGGGCCCCAGCCCCATGCCGTCACAACCCTACAATTCTGGGGTCTCCATGGCCGCAGCTGAGAAGTGGCCAGTGCCAAGCAGATGGGAGCCTCTTAAAGAGTTTTAGTGAGTTGCTGCACAGGGAAGGGAGTGCTGACCTGGCCCACGACAGCTCACCAAAACTCTGTGGGTGGCCTATGGGCCCAAATAATTGCCCACCCCTGATATATTACATATATATAGCATATATTACAGGCACTATTTATATGCTTTTATACCACATGCTTGTAACACTGCACCCCTGAGTGGGTTGTTGGCAACAGGGCTTGAGTCTGGGATCTCCAGTTCTTGCACTGGGAAACTCTGCTACTTGAACTTAAAAGACCCAGCTTCATTCACAGGCTCATCAACCTGTTTGTGGCCTAGTCCCCACTAGAGGAGGGGACACATCTATCGAATGCATCTATAGCATCCTACCATGCATGTCCATTTGGAGTACATGCTCCCCAGTGGGGTGCGTGGCATAACTTGGAGACCATCAACACTCTCTATGAAGCATGGAAAGACAGCCATGTACAGGTAGACTAACATGACTGTCATGAGAGTGTGCACAGTGCATCCTTCTCCCTAGCAAGAACTGAGGTTCTATCTAGCCAGTCACTTCAGGAATCCAGCACTTCTCTCAGTGCGGGTAAGTTTTGAAAAGGTACCAGATGTTGTATTTCCCTGTATGGGTCAATGACCACTAATACCTCCATCCAGGGTATGAGCAGGCACTTGATTTCTCAGCAAAAATTTCTCCATTCATTTTAGCAGAAAAACAACCTAACTAGCCTGTACCTGCATCACCTCTGACATCTGATACAATAGAAAGGAAGTTGTTACATAGATAAAGTCCAGCAAAGAAAGTCTGGAACCATCAGATAGATCAGGATGCTAAAGCAACATCCCAAGTGAGTACTTTAACCCTGGAGTAACATCTCCTTGGTGAAAATTTTCCTCTTTCTTTATTTTGCTTTTCTGAACAGCGGCCCAGAACCAAGTGTTTCATTTCCAGATGAAGAAAGCATTTTGTGTTGAATAAAGTGATTTTGTTAAGTTTTCCTTTTTGGGGAGAATATGTGGGTAGAAAAAGTGGTAACTTGGTTTGACCTGAACAATGCCTCAGTTTCCCCATCAGTAAACTGGGGTTGAAAATACTTGGTGACACCTTTTGATAGGTGTTTTGGATAGATGTTTCAGGATGGCAAAGCATGATTGTAACTATAATAATTTTTTCTGTTCTAAGGACAAACCTTGAGGAAAACCTCAAAACTGCCCCTTTGAAGTCACCCCTTATCCCCAGTCACCCAGCCTGTAAGCCCAATCCCGAGCTCATCCTAACATCATTCCGTTAACTTCAACTGAGTTATTTCTGAATTTAAAGTGATCTTGCAAGAAGAATTAGGTCCTGCTTGGGCACAAAGACAGAGTGATGGCTCTGAGTAGGTGTAACAGAGTGGCTTGTTTCCTTAAGAGGAGGCAGCCAGCACTGCTGAGTAGCTGCAGGTGTGAGGATGATGCTGATAT